GTGAGAGAGAAAGAGAGAGAAAGGTCTTCCTTTGCCATTGGTTCACCCTCCAATGGCTGCCGCGGCCGGCGCACCGCGCTGATCCGATGGCAAGAGCCAGGTACTTCTCCTGGTCTCCCATGGGGTGCAGGGCCCAAGCACTTGGGCCATCCTCCACTGCCTTCCCGGGCCACAGCAGAGAGCTGACCTGGAAGAGGGGCAACCGGGACAGAATCCGGCGCCCCAACCGGGACTAGAACCTAGTGTGCCGGCGCCGCAAGGCGGAGGATTAGCCTAGTGAGCCGCGGCGCCGGCCTCCATCAACTTTTCTGATGACACATTTCTCCTCCTTCTCTGGTGTTTCCACCGCCTCCGCCTCCTCCACCCTGTCTGTGCCCCCAGCCTCCAGTGGCATTGGCATCTCCCACAGTTGGGTTTCTGGCACATTTATTGCTGTTGCTGCCATGGCGTCATCACCTCCCCTGCTGTCTTCAGACATCCTGGCCACGTCTACAAGTCTGATCGTGGACTTTCTTCTGAGCTCCATCCTCTCTACATGGGAAAGTCCCATTCCATGCACAGGGCTGGACCTAGCGAGGATGCCGCATTCCAGGATTGAAGAAGGGAAAAGACAGGACAGAGGCATGGGATATTTGTCAGAGAAGAGTAACAGGACTCTGTGATGGATTTGCTGTCCTAAGGGAGGGAGGAAGAAAAGGAGGGAGGAGGTAAAAGGGCAAAGCTGATTCCAAGTTTTGTAGCTTGGGAACTGGGAAGACGAGACCCCACCCCTGGTGGGCCAGAGAGGGAAGACGATGACTGGTTCAGTTTAGGATGATCTGAATACACCTCATTTCTCTGCCTTTTCTGCCTCTTGAGTCTTTCTGTCTTAGGGTTGCTACAATTATCTTCCTAAAACACACATCTAATCCTGCCGTTCTCCTCCAATTTTGTGTTGTTCTCAGTAACCACAGAGTTGTTTCAGTAGAGACAGAGTGGGACTCAGCCTCCCTGACAAGCCCTATGCAAGCTGGCTTTGTTTGGTTTCACTGGAATCTTCCAGCATGACAGAATCCACCATGGCACTTCTCACCTTCTTGCCTTTGCTCAAGCTGTTCTTGCAATCTGGAGTGCCCTCCCCACTTTCCCTGCCTGCAGAAATCCTACTCAGTCTTTAGATTGCAGATTGCACACGATGTCCTCCATAAAGCCTCCTCCTTTTCCCCCCGTTAGCACTAGGAGCCACCTATTCGGTATCTCTCCAGCAGTTTGTGTGTGCCTCTCTGGTGTTATAGTGCATTTGCTCAAACACACGTCTTCCGATGGTTGGTAGACTCCTTAAAGCTAGAGGAACTAGCTCATCTGTCTCCCTTCCTTTACTAGCTGCTAGCGACTGACTCTCCATGGATTTGTTGCTCATTAAATAATAAATGAAAAGAAGAGGGAGTCATTGGTAGGAGGGACATCTGAGGAAGAGAAATAGATAGACTTGGACTCATTCTGTAGTATTGTTCAGCTGGGATGGGAACTTCATGTTGTGAACAACAGGTGTGGAGAGTAACGATGGTGGAGGCATTGGATTATGGGTAATGTTAGGGGCTCATCGTTAGACACAGAATCCTGTAACACAGAACCATGCATGTACACGTTTAGCCTCTCATCCACAGGCAGTAAGCCGAACTGAAAAGTCCTTCCTCAGCGGGAAATTATTATTCTGTCCATTTAAAAAGATACACAGCCTCTTCGTGTAACCAAGACTCCTGCATATTTGGCTCTTGCTGCTGCTATGTCCATTGTCTGATGCCATAAAGAGACGGGACCTCGACGGAGGGTGCAGCGATGACCCCTTGCTATGCCTGTTTATTCATTGTACAAAAGTTGGGCAAGGAGGTATGCTGATAAATGAGATTTCTTTGACCCTTAATTATTCCTTTCACATGTTAGACTCTTTCATCAACCTGTTTTTATTTTCAGCAGCACAAAGGAACAACGGAAAAATAGTCTTTTCAAACAAATCTTAGAATAAGAACACTGACCGTCTCCCTTCTGAGTGCTTGGACACAGACATAGCTATTACATTACACCTGTGTCGTGCGTGAGTGCTGCACATCTTCCTATGTATGCTCTGTGTGTGTATGGAGTCCGCCATCAGGCTGTGCTTGTTCTAATCTTCCACTAGGGAAAGAACTGCTTGTCATGTATTAGAAATGGAAGGAAACAGCGAAGACCCTAATTCTGAATATTTTAAGATTTGATGAACTATTCCCTCTGAGTGCAGCTACTCTGTTCTGCCTCAGGTTCCTAGGGAAATTACACGCACAGAGAAAATGCCCGGAAGACAGAATCTTACTTCTAGCTGGGTTGTCACTCCCAACCCATTTGTTGGATCTCCGTTTGTGGTAAGTTGGGACAGTTAGTTTGGGTTTTAAGGCTGGCTCCAGAGGCCTGGGTAGACTTTTTTTTTTTTTAAGGTTTATTTATTTATTTGAAAGACAGAATGACAGAGAGAGAGGGAGATCAAGAGAGAAAGAGATCTTTGATCTGCTGGGTCACTTACCAAATGACTGCAGCAGCTGGGGCTGGGCCAGGCCAAAGCCAGGAGCCTGGAGCTCCATCCGGGTCTCTCCCATGGGTGCCAGGGACTCCAGTACTGGGCCACCTTCTGCTGCTTTGGTAGGCTCAGTAGTAGAGAGCAGCATAAAGCAGAGTAGCCGGCACTCGATGGGTGCTTTGCTGCAGAATCAGGCATCCCAGGTGCGCCCCAAGCCGGCACCTGGACTGGGTAATTTTGGGGACTCATGCATCTTTCCCAGGTCAGGGTGGCTCTTCAGGGTGGGAGGCATCGCATATGCGTGTCAAGTGCCTTCTCCCTAATGGAGTGCTGGAGAGCACCGTCCTGTTAGAGAACTCCAATGAGAAGGGGCTCTAATGAGAGCCTGCGTGTGGTGAGAGCCTTTGCCGGTTGCTCCTGCGCCAACATCTCCGGGCCTGAGCATCGTGACCCAAGGCTGACCTTGACTGCCCATCCATCGGTCCTTCTCCGGAGCGGGGAGCAAGGGGTTTTGAGCTAAGGCAGCAGGTTGGATGTGTGGCTGGGCAGCCAACACTGATCTAGAGGCCAATGTGATGGCCACATTCATGCAAAGTGAGGCCATTTTATCGGATGCTTCTTGTTCCTCACATCACAAGGTCGCCTTTTTGCTCCATGTGCGGCCAGTGGGAACACCTCCCTTTGGCTTTGCCATGAAGCTCTTGCCGTCGGTCCCAGGTCATCTTTGCCACCTCTGTGGCTGCCTGTGGGACCTACTCAGTCCTCCTGTTTAGGGGCAAACCTGGCTGTGCCCCTGGATTCACCTCCTCGGGGGCTACTCTCAGCTTTCCTCCTCCTATCCGCGGAGCTGTCATGTCTGAGAAACACTCACACAGCGCCGCACGAGAGTCCTAAGGGACTGCATCCCAGTTGTCCCCAGGAATAAGCAGCATGGCCATGCGCTCTGGGATGAGCTTTCCCTTCCTCACTGCCTCCCTCTCACTTTCGTTCTTGGAATTGCTTCCCCCAAAATGGTGAGACTCAAGCCTTTTGTCAGGGCTTGCTCTTTTGGTGAACAGAGAAAGTAGATAGATGGATACAGATGGACAGATGGAGAGATGATAGACAGATGGAGGTGAGCAGATACAGGATGGATGATCTTTGCCATCTGAAAATGCCAGTCAGACTCATTGCACAGAGACTCTCCCGACAGGCATTCTTATTTGAAATGGGACACGGGTGACATGGCTTGGCGATCTTCACAGCACGCACTGTGAAGCTGTGGTCAGCTACCTAGGAAATGCATCTCGCTACCTGGAAGTCCTCGAGCTTGGACGAGCCTCACCTTTCTGGGCTGATTTGGGTGGAGCCCTGCAGTCTGGCTCAAGGATGGCTGGGTGACTCCTTGGTCCTCGCCCAGCGCATGCTCTCTCCCTGCTTGTCTGATGGTGGGGGCAGTGAGTTACTTCCCCATGTCTCTGCAGACACGGGGAGCCTTCCCACCCGAGGGAAGTGCCTGGGAGCTCGCTTTCATAATGCATTTAGAGTTCCTGGGGTGAAAGTCTTTGTAAAATGAGATGGAATATAAGAATATTTAGTATATTCTTTCATTGTGCTAAAACTCAGACACCATTCATTGTACTCATTAAAAGGAGCCATCCACTTTTCTACAGCAAACATTTGAAAGTGGCGGCCTGAGAGTTGAGCAGACCCCTGGGGGAGGCTGGAAGCAGTTGGGTGGGGGCACACAGAGTTGGACAGAGGGAGTGGGCGGGGCTGAACCTCTGAACCCTCCTCTGGCTAACCTCTAACTCATCTAACCAGATTAAGTACCCACAATCTGGTAAATTATGTTTAAACCCCCCTCAAAATGTCTGCAGGCAATCCAAACTTGGTGATTTGCCTTTAATCAGAAGACAAACATTTGAAGTGGGCAGGAAAAAAAAATGTTTTCAGTTGTTTTCTTTTCTCCCCTGAGAAAACACGGAGGGGCCCTCTTGGCGATCATGTCTGTAGGAGGAAGCTTGGCTCTTTGTTCTTTAGAACGAGTCACGGCTCTGTGTTAGAGAGGAAGGGATCTTCGAGATCATCCAGCTAGACCTCTCTTTGTACAGGATGCTCAGTAAATGGTTTGTCATCATCACATCCCTGGTTCATGTCTGGGCTAGGCTTCAAGTTCAAGTGGTCAGCTCTGTGGTGATGTCCCTCAGGAACGAAAGCCATTCTATGAGATCCAGATATTCTCACTAAATAGGGTAGAAAACCACTGGTAGGGGCTAGAGGAGGGGAATGAATAAATTTTATAGTCTCAGTTGAGTTTGGTTCTCTGCTTCAGATCTGCCTGTTTGGGAAACCTAGAACTCATTAAATGATCCATACCTTACTGGAACGAAAGGGATTTCCTTTCTAAGAGGCTATGGCAGTTGGCTTTCCTTTTCTCTTTGGTAATACCTACCAGTGTGAGCAGAATTTGCATTTTCTTGTTTTACAGATCCAACTCTCAAGGAAGAACTGTGAATGAGAAATCTACTTCATAAAGAAGAACAGGTGTTGATGAATAACCTGGACAGGGGTAGAACGGGGGTCTTGGACTGCGTTTCACTCATCTCCGGGGCTTTTTTTTACGGACATTTGCCTTAGTAAATCATAGCTGTTCACAAAATAAACTCCATTTTGTATGAGACTCCTCTGTTCCGGGCAAACACTGTAGGTAAGAATGTTGCCTGCACCACCTGGAATATTTGTGATTTCCGGCTCCTTGGGGCTGCAATCCGAGCCTTCCAGGGTACCCTCTTACCTGGTGATCTTGCTCTCAGGTTCCAAGCTGTTGCTGGGAGGGAGCCCAGTTGTACGTTCTGGGTCTTCCAGAGGCACGGATGGAATCCCTCGCCGCTGTCGCCTTGCCTCCCTCTCTACCCCCACCACACCTGGAGCCCCTCCTGGCGCTCTCGCTGGGGTGATTTTACACCTGTTTTTTGGCAACTGCTGAGGTGCACCTTCCCCTTATTGCCAGCTGCCCGTGACCTCTGGTAGGCAAGAGATCCTATGTGGTGCTCTTGACCATGGGTGAGGAGCTAGAGGTGCTCAACCACAAGCCTTGGGGCTTCTCCTGGCTTCCTGGGGGCCAGGGCTGGGGCTGTGTTAAACGCGCAGGCTTAGTTTGTGGATGGCCACAAAGTGAACAGTCAGCCACAGACACGTTATAGAAGACAAGGCCTTGGGTGTCTGCTTAAAATCTATTTCTGTAGCATGACAGTGGGAAAAGTGTCTGTGTTCTTGGATTTAAATGCAAACAAAGGCCAGATGACTGGCCAGCTTAGAGATGCCCGGATCCCATGCTGTAGAGATGGGAGGGGCCGTCTGTCCTGTCGTGAGCAGCTCTGCTCCCAGACCCATCCTCAGACGTCACTGGGAGCCCATTTCAGGGGAGAAGATGACCAGGCTGAGGGCGATGTTCTTTATATCGCTACCTGCAGGGAGAACAGGAGGTAGCGGCGCAGTCTAAGGCCAAACAAGAGAAGCCACTCGTGCCTCCGGTGCAGGCAACAATCAAAGCAGTCGGGTATATTTTATTACTCTCACTAAATATCAGTCACCTCGACACAAAATTGGTACTTGACTCAAACAGGAAAACTTGATTCAGTCATGTGCATTCCACCCATTTCTTGGATGGAAATAGTGTCTGATTAGCGTCTGGCCATTTTCAGTGTGGTTTCTCTTGTATTATCCATTTTTTCCCCCTAAAGTAAATCTGATCATTTTAAATGTTAGAGAGAAGTGGTTCACAATTTCTTGAAATAAGCAAAGGACATTATATTTATAAGCTTGCAAGTTGTGAACCAGGCAAAACATTCTCATCTGCTGCTTTATGTATTTTTATCAATCATCACAGATTCCTGGGGAAGGTCTCCAATGGGCAGAGTTTTAAAATGGATTTTTAAAAAGTGTTGTTTTAACCTACAAGTGTGATTTTCCTTTTTTTGTTTTTTTGTCTCATTGTCTGTCCCTGGTATTTCTCTTGAACAGTGAATTATTATTACTTGCATTTGGGTAGATGATTGTTTAGCTTGCAAAACATGACACTCCCCCCGCCCCCATTAGTTGCCCAATTTCATTAAGATAAATGGAGTTATTCATCTGGTTTTTCCTTCCCTTTGGCTATGGGGTCACTAGAATGATGTAGAGCAGGAGAGGGAAAGGCTGGCGAATACTGTGAAATGTCACTAAACAATTTCAGGAAAGAGCCAGCGCCACTGCACTGAATGATAGATACGCTCTCAACCCTGACGGCTGTTAGTGCTTATATAATAACAGTGTGCATCGTCACCATGGGTGTCCAAACCCTGGGTTTTGTAATAGCTATCACTAGGAGTGGATATTTCCCAAATCTGGTTGAAATGCACTGAAAAGCAGAAAACAGAACAAAGCAAGACCAACCTAACCCTGAGACTAATAAGTAGTTGAGGATGGCAACCAAGAAAATAAAAAAAAAAGAAACAAGAGTATAGCCAACCTTTTTTTTAATTAGAGTATATTATACTTTCAAACTGGATACACTAGAAATTGGCAATGCAACATAAGATGCGAAGGAATATACCAGTTACTGTCAAAATGACCCTGTACAGCCTTGTAATGCAAAAAGCTTTATACAATACAAATTTTCAGTAATGTACACAAACCTTGACAGTATGATCATCAGAACATAATATGAAGAGTTAAAAAAAGGATAGAAGAAAGTGCTGAGAACCCTAACTGCGTTACTATATGGAAAAATAAGCTTTCATTGAAGAATGCATAGTGAAATCAGAATCGGGGTTACTTGGCAGGTGAATTTCTCAAAGATGTTAGTGTTTTACACGGAAAGGATATCTATGGAACACATCCTTCCCTGAGTATCAAACTGCAAACCAAATTCAGGGCTACACATTATCTAGGTGGAATCTGAAAAATGCTGTAGATTTTTCCTTTATTAATAACAACAATAATATAAAAAGTCAAACAAACTCCAAACACACCTTTTCTCACTCAGAAAACTTTTATAATTTACCAGAAAGATTGATGACTCTTTCCAAAGTGCTAAAAAAGTTGCCCAATTTTATTAAGCATTACTAAGTCATTCAAATACAAGTTCAGTGGCAAGCAGTGAAATGCATGGCATTTGAGCAGTCAATGTCTCCTTCCATCACTCCTCTTGCTCTAGAACGTTCTGACCTTAGGGCCTCCTATTGCACAAGTGGCATGCTAGAAAACCTACAGTCCTAACCATTCGCGCCACCCTTTCAGGTTTTGAACCTGCTGGTGCTTAAGTGTGAGTCGCCTGTTCCGCCAGCCCCTGTGGGATCACCAAGGCCCTCTTTCCTATCATCACTGAACTTGTAATTTTGAAAACACATTATTAGCCAAGTGGCATGTTCTCCATTATATGGGAATAAAGACATGACTTAAAGGAAAACAACACAACCCACCCGAAAGCCCAGTATTCTTGGAGTGTGTTGTCCATAACCGTCTATAGTGTCTTTTACTGAGACATGGACAGGGTGAGGTTGATCAGCATCTCGAACACAGCTTCTGCTGGAGAATGACTGAGGGTTCTGGGAGCTTCCTGCCTGAGCTGGTTGGGCCTCCGCGCCCCCGTGGCCATCCCCTTAGTGTAAACAGGTTTGCCAGGACGCCGAGCAGGCACCCCACACCGGGCCGGATGGCCAGGGAAGGGAAATGTAGCACACCTGCCAGCTCTGGGGGCAGCAGGGTTAGAGCGGAGGGCGGCGGGGACACCGTGGTGTGGGGACCGACAGCACAGTCTTCTGGCTTCCTGTGCAACAGCATTCATTTCCAGGGGGCTCTGAGCGAACCAAACTGAGTAGAGGAAGAAAAATCAGGGAGGCTTTTGTTTTTTTTTTTCCCCTGGTGAAATAGGTGAAAAAAAAAAAAAAAACAATCCCAACTCCAGCCTGAGACATGACGGGAATTGGCAACAGGGTGAGAAAGTGTTCCCCGTCCGCCTGTTCTTCCACAGATGAAGAACGTACAAATCGCCACAGTCCAACTCTGTTCTCACACAAAGCACATTTCTTCCTGCTCTTTCAGCCTGTTTCACACAGGAGATTCTGCTCTCTCAAAAACACAAGCAATGAACGTATTCATCCAAGAGTTTTTCTCCTTTTTAAATCACCCATTGCTTTTTAAGATGAGCGAAGGGTTACTCAACCAATCCACACCTGCTTCCTGTTGCAATAAAGTGCTGCACATACACTGTCATTTTAATGACCACAAAGTAAGAGCTTTAAATAAGTATAAAGTTAGCCTCCTAGCAGGTACGTCTACCAGGCGTTAACAAAATGGAATACAGAATCACTAACAGCATGGAGGATACCGCTACAGCCAGAGGATCTGCAAACACAATGGAAACTTCTCAGGGGCAGGAACTGAACCAGAGGACTAAACAGCACCTTTTTGTTGTGTCCTTACAGGTCAAAGAGGTTGTGGCTAAATTGTCAAACATACAGTCTACTCATTCCATAAAAAAGGTACATTTTCTTCCTTTTATTTTACTTTTTTTTTCAGATGAGAAACAAAAACTAGTGCAAGACCAAAGCACTGTGCAAAACTGCCATTTCTTTTTTTTCTTTTTTTTCTTTTTTTTTTTTTTTAGTCTGAGCATTTATACCCAGAATTTATCCAAACCCCTTTTAATCTCCTTGGCTGGATTTATGAACCATAAAATTTTTAATTCATACAATTTTTTTCCTGCAAACAAATGGTAACCACTGAATTAATACATCTCATATATATATATAATCTGCCCTTAAAAAAAAAAACGATGTCCTGTGTGCGTGCGTGCGTGCGTGCGCCATACACATCACTGATGTACGGGCACACACACACACACACACACACACCAGACTTCAGTTGTGTGAAGTCAGCTGCAGTGCTGCGGGATACTTCCTGGACAGGGCAGCCACTGGAGCCCGTGCAGCTTCCTCCCCAGAGGAGAACTGAGAACCAGGGCTCCGGCAGCCCTGTAGGAGCCCACCCTCCCTGCATCCACTCAGCACCGGGCCCTACCGCTCTGCAGCCGTAAAACAGAGAGGGGAGGTGTGAGGGAGCTCGGAGAGAGACCCGAGTGGATGAACAGCCCAGGAGGGAAGAGAAGGTTGGTCGCTGTTAAAGAAGCCGGGACGAGGGCTGTACAAGAGCAACGTCATGGCGCTCGACGCGCGCGCGGCTCTTCCGGAATCCACAAGCGCCCATGCGCCCCACTCACCCGACAGAAAACCAAATGCACCGGTATCTTAAGCTTACAAGTGCTGATTGCAATTAAGGACACTCTCTTTAGGGTTTAACGAGACAGAATTCCTTTCAGAGCAAAGAAGGAAGAAGGGCTGAGGGCGGAGTGGGTGGCTGGGGAGGCATGCCTCTCAAGGTAGAAGTATGCAGGAGGTGACCTCTCGGGAGAGTGGGTAAAGCAGCTTTTCAGGTCAATGCAATAGGTATACACACAGAGCCAATTCTCTACTCCTTACTAAAGATATACAGTACACGTGGTGCAGACCCCGGGGGGTCTGTAGGTTTTGCAGCAACATACACCTGCTGGGGTTGTGTTTTTAAGTTTTGTGGGTTATTTTGTTTTGTTTGTGTCTTTGTCTCTTTTGTTTTTGGTACAGACCGTGGCTGTCCTCAGACAGTCTCTGCTCTCTCTCGCAGTCCGAGATAGGCGAGGAAGGAGTGTTTCGGGGAGGGGATGCTGGGAGGCGCAGTCTGAGGCCGGGGAGGGTGGAATGTGAGATCCAAGTGGTTCTTGGGGTATAACATTGTCAAGGGAATGAGATGGGCAAAATCCGAGTTCCGGTACTTGTCTACGCGCAAGGGGGAGCCGTTGAAGGCCAGCGCCTTGAGTGCCAGGTTGGGCTCCGAGCTGCTGCCGTGGGCGGCGGACAGGGCCACGGTCTGCAGAGCCTGCGAGGCCGACATGACCGACAGGGGAGACAAGAGGTTCCGGGAGCTCCCCACGACCAGCAGCGGGGCCCCGGGGCCGGCCGCTTCCTTGGGGGCCGCGCACAGCCCCTTCTTGTCCTCCGGGGGGCACTCCCCGCTCTGGTGCTTCTTCACGTGGCGGCTGAAGACGAAAGGGTGTGTGGTCTTGAACAGGCACTCTTCGCAGCTGAAGGTCTGGCGGGGGGCGTGCTTCAGCTTCTTGTGCAGGTTGAGATTGTCCTTGCGCTTGCAGCTGTAGCTGCACTGGTCACAGTGGAAGGGCCGCTCCCCGGTGTGCACGCGCACGTGCTCGATGAGCTTGTTGGCGGTCTTGGACAGGTAGCCGCACTGGTCGCACTTGTAGTGGTTGCCCAGGCGATGCTCCCGGGTGTGCGTCTCCAGCTCCAGCTGGTTGGCCTTCACCGTCTGGCAGATCCGGCACTTGTACTCCATCTTGTAGTGGGTCTTGAGGTGGCACTCCATAGCAGCGGGGCGGTTGGTGGAATAAATGCAGAATGGGCACCTGCCGGGGTGGGGGTGGGGAAGCAAGGGCAAGCGAGGTTCAGCCAGAAGGGTTGGGCGGCAGCCCTGCTTCTCCCCATCCCCACCGCCGCCCCCACTCCTCACCACCCTCCCCAGTCTCCGAGGCCTGGCCTGGCCTGGCCAGCCCAGCCCAGCCCTGCCGCCTCTCAGGGGTGGGGATGGCCTCGTGGGCTTTCACCGCTGTCAGAGCTGCCCCCTGCTAGGGAGGAGCTCCGACCAGCTCCGCTCAGCCTGCTCTGGGTCTCCTGGCTGGAACAGCCAACGGCAGCCCGCCCACACCAGGGGGAGCAGAGAGGGTCCGAGGTTATAAATAAGTTGGTGCTCCCCGCCAGCCCCCTCCCCCCGCGCCCCTCCGGCCCCCTGGAGCCCTCCCCACTCCCCTCGGGGCAGCGCGGAGGTCTAAACCTCCTGACCTCCCCTCTCAATGGGAGCAACACAAAGAATGGACTTTTCATGCACCACACCAAGCACACGCAGAAAGGCTAAGAGGTCTGGAAGAACAGCTTATAGGGGGAGAGCTACCTCCAGCAAACAGAAAGTCACAGGGGGCAGAGTCGTGCTGATTAAAGGGTTGTTAGGATGAGAAGGCCTGGGTGTGTGTGAATGAGTGTGTGTGTGTGTGTGCGTGCATTGGTGAGTACGCATAAAACCTGTCTCCTAAAGTTCTGGCTCTTGATCAGCAAGGAAGGCGAGGACTATGGCAGGGGCAGGGAGGAGAGGGAGCCCACCCGACAGCCCACCGACTAGGGAGGGACAGGGGGACCTACCCTCTGGAGCCTGAAGACTCATGAATACATTAGTATGCCACAGGAGTCAACAGCAATGCAACTGGCTCTTGGCGTCCCATGGGGCAGAAGCGTGTCTGACATTTCTTCTGTAGTCTCCCCAGGGCTCGGGAAGAGTGCTCAGCAGGTGCCTCGCACCCGGGACAGATGGAATCATTGGTTGAGTGGCCTCCACACGTCATTTAGGTAGACTACGCCAGGGGGTGGGTCTGAGCCCCGGCTCCATCTCGGGGATTACTGGGATCCAGATGGACAAGCCCAGGACAACGGCTGGGCCTCCCTGAAGCTCGGGCTGCCCATGATTGGCAGGAGGCTCCGCCTGCACCCGCCCTCCTGGCCGGCCAGAGGGGCTGCGAGGGGTGCTGAGGGCATGGCCACAAAACCGCTGAGCTGCCCCTGCAGGTCAGGCTCGAGGCGCTGGCGTGCATGCGCGCTGCAGCGTGTGTGCTCTCTCTCTCTCCAGACAGAATGCAGATGCCCAAGTGGCTGCCTCGCCTCTTGCTCGGGGCCCGCAGGGCAGGGCCCGGGAGTGGACTGTCCTCGGAGGGGTTGGAGAGGTGTTCAGCAGAGCCCAACACAACCAAGTGCACCGTGCACTGCCTCCTCAGCGCCAAGCTCGCCGTTAGCCTTGGACCCTCAGCTCACAGAAGAGTGCACACGAGAGAAATATAAAGCCCGTTCCCAGGTCAGGTGCACACACAACCCCTACGCCAAGCTGGGCCTTACCTAGAGGAGTCTGAAACTCACCACTGTCCTGAGCTACGGCAAAAGAAAAATAATAGTATAATCTTATTTGATCTGCATTACCAACAGGGTATAGAGTACAAGCAGTTCCATCACAGAAAAGCAACTTAGACACGGGCAGTCTGTTTCAGTTTACGGACATTTCTGTGACCCACAGCTCAATCTTGCTTCCTTTCGCTGCTCAGGCACAGGGCTAAGGGTGTTCCGTGCTCCCGTGGTTTATCTTAAAGACACTCTCTCTCAGGCAGATTAATTCTCTGATATGGCAAAGGAAACAAAACGAAACGAAACAAAACAAAGACTCACTGTATAGCCAGAAGGCATTATCAATTTTTTCAAAGTGTTCTTCTACTTGGTCATCCTAGAACATAAACTATTACACAGGGCACGGTTAGCACCGTACGGCAGGTGTCTGGTACCGGCAAAAGCAGCAGCCATCACTGTGCGTTCTCCCCAGTGGGTGCGGAGGCTGGGGACTGCTCAGGTCCCCGAGGAGAGGCGAACTGGCAAAGCCACAATGGGCGGGGGCTGCAGCGTTCACGGCTGTGACTGGGCTATGGGGAGGGGCCACGGGACCTAGTCCGACCACGGGGCCACGTGGCCTTCGCTGTTGGTAAGGGTGCACAAATACTTGTCAACGGGGGCAGTGGGGGCAGACCCCATCAGATTCCCAAGTCGGTCCTCGCTGGGTCCTGATTTTCTAGAATGACCGTCTCCCCCTCCCCAAGCCCTGCCACCGCCCCTCCCCCTCCAGCCTCAGTGCCCCAAGAGTGAGACAGCATGGAATCCAACAGCAGCTGGGAGGGGTCCCCCGACCAGGCAGCGCCTGGGGTTGCCAACCCTGCACTGTCTCCGGCTCTCCACTCCCTCCCAGGGTTCTCCTGGGTCTCTCCACCCTCCACCCCCCACCCCGCCCCCGCCTCTCTGGCGAAGTGTGAGTTTCAACGATACAGATGTTTGAAAACAAAGGTTTTTTTAAAAAAAAGTCCCTCCTCTGTTGTGTACTTTTTCTAACTACATGATCGTTTCAGCTACAGATTAAAAATTACGCCTGAAAAAATGGTGTGCTTTTGGGTGCCTGACTATGGTGCTTCTTTCTCTTCACTGGACGGGAAGTACCTCGTGAACAAGGCCTCTGATTTCCGAATCAGCGGGGAGGGTCAATTCTGGTACTGCACGGACACACATCTCCCGAGGGCGAAGGGCGTTTCATTCCTGTGCGCCCCTGAGCGCGCGTTATGGAGGCCGACACAGGGACTGGTGGTGGTAACTCAAGGGTCTCACTGGAGACCCGGGCGGGGGGGCTGCCTGCGCATCTCGCTTAATGGTGAAGCTTGCTGTCTAGCCTTTGGGGGAAGGCGCTGGCGTGTCTGCAGGAGGCCACGGAGCCGTGTGATCTCTGCCATGAACAACGTGGCCTGCTCAAACTGCCAAGGTTCTAACCTGGGGGAGCGAGATGGTGGAACTATTTAAGTAGGAGACGCATGGCGAGTCATCTGAAAAGCAGAGATGGCACCTGCGGTGACAGCACCATGATTTACACTTGGGGACACCCGCTGGTCCCCGAGTCCCAGCAAAATGAAGTGTGAACCAAACTCAAAGCAGTATAGGATGGCCCTAGCCTTGCATGCTGGGTTGACCCAACAGGTCTGCTTCCTGGCCCTGAATCCTTGAATATTTGTGAGACGGATTCTCCCCTCTCTGGAGCCCTTGGGGGACAGGTTGTACTCAATCCAGGGAGAGGCAGCAGCAGAGGTTCCTGTCTAACTCCCCTCATACCAAGCTCCCCCTCTCCCTGACCCCCAAAACCTCCAGGGAAAGGGCAGGGGAAGTGCGGGGGAGGGGTGTTTAATAACAACGCAGTAAAAGGTTCTGTACTTGCTTTCCTTACTTGAGCCCACCGGTGGGGACAGTGTGGCATTTCTTGTGCTCCAGCAGCTGTTCGGGGGTCTTCATGAACTTGTGGCACACGTCGCACTCAAACATCCGGGTGATGAGGTGTATCTGCAGATGGCGCTCAAACATGTTCTTCGTCTTGCAGACAAAGTTGCAGAAAACGCATTCGAACCCTGAAAGGACCGAAGCTGGGTGTAGAGGTGCACGGGGCAGAGAGACAGAGAGGCAGGGCAGGCCAGAGTGCGGTTGAGTACCCCCTTCCGCCCACCCCCTCCACCTCCGAAGAGTCACATCCTTCCAGGCACTGCTGCCTGCCTCTGTGGTAGAGGAGTTTAACGTACAGCTCCACACTGGATGCAAACCAGGCCCAAAGGTAACGTGAAGCTTAGGTGCGCGTCCTCTGTCTCCTGGACCCAGTTACCCCGCCTCTCCAGGGCAGAGTCTCCAGACCGGGAGGGTGCAGCAGACACGCCAGCCCTCCCTTACCTTTCTCTGGCTTTTCCTCACTGTTCAGTGAGGGCTGACTCCCAGGCACCACGGAGATCACCAGCAGGTTGTTCCCGCCCTTGTTCTTCTGGGAGCTGTCGGAATCGTCTTTGCTGTTGGCTGAATCACTCAGAGCTGAGAGGGAGGACGAAGAGGGGCTGTTGGACTCACTGGGGGTCTTCCTGTCTTCCCCTGAAAAATAAAAAGTACCCAAGTCTCTTACTTACTTAGGAGATGCAGACCCTCAGGTAGGCAGCGCTTGACGCTGGCGCAATCAGGTCTCATGGATGCATCCTTGGGGGCCACAGTGTAAGGCTCCCAGCTCCCCTGGTCTTGGTGCACCTGTGGTGATATTTGAGGTCCTGGGATCAGGAGCAGACATTCACTCCATTTGACACGTGTTTACTGAGGTCTTGCAATAATTACAGTGACAATAGCTGCTAAGATGGCCTGAACACGTTACGCCAAGTTCCAGTGTTATATTTTTAAATGTCCCATCACATCTTTCCAGGCATGCAAAGAAGCAAGAAACACAACCCAAAATGGAGGAACAGTCAGTCAATCAAAACTGACCCACGGGAGCCAGCGTTGTGGCATAGCGGGTAAAGTCATTGCCTGCAGCACCAGCATCCATATGAGTGCTGGTTTGAGTCCCAGCTGCTCTACTTCCAATCCAGCTCCCTGCTAATGACCTGGGAAAAGCAGCAGAAGATGGCCCAGGCACTTGGGCTCCTGCCACCCATGTGGGAGACCTGGTAAGAAGCTCCTGGTTGCTGGCTTTGGTCTGGGCCAGCCCTGGCCATTGCAGACATTTAGGGAGTGAACCAGTAGATGGAAGATCTCTCTCTGTCTCTCATTCTCTGTAACTCTGCCTTTCAAATAAATAAAAAAAATCTTAAAAAAAAAACTGACCAAGAACTGACATAGTTGTTAAAATTTGCCAGTAAGGATATTTCATATGCTCAAAAAGTTAAGTAGAGATATGGAAGATATAAAAAAAGATGCAGATAAAATTTCTTTTTTCTTTTTTTTTAAAGAAACTGGGAGCTCAGAGTGGTAGAAGGTTGCAGATTTTTTTTTTTTAAGATTTACTTGTTTATTTGAAAGGCAGAGTTATAGAGAGGCAGAGGCAGAGGCAGGGGGAGAGAGAGAGAGAGAGAGAGAGAGAGGTTTTCCATCTGCTGGTTTGCTCCCCAAATGGCTGCAACGGCTGGGGCTGTGCCGATCTGAAGCCAGGAGCCAGGAGCTCCTTATGGGTCTCCCATGAGGGTGCAAGGGGCCAAGGACTTGGGCCATCTTCTGCTGCTTTCCCAGGTCACAGCAGAAAGCTGGATTGGAAGTGGAGCAGCCAGGATTTGAACTGGTGTCCATATGGGATGCCAGCACTCCAGGCGGTGGCTTTGCCCTCTATGCCACAGCGTCAGCCCCTCAAGTCAAATTTCTATACTTGAAACCATGTCTGAGATGGAAGCATACACTGATGGAATTACCAGCAGATTAGATGTGGCAGAAGAAAGAATGAATGTGAAGATAAAAGCTACAGAACTCTCTGAGATGCAATAGCAAAAGGAATCCCCCAAATGAAAACAGCAACAATAAACCACGGGATGCCTGCAGGCAGCTAACACTAAGTCTAACCGGCCTCCCAGTTGGGGTGAGGAGGGCTGAAAGAAGACACAAAAGGGCCCCAGATTGTCCAAATATAAGGAAAACAATAAACTCAAAGATCCAAGAAGCTCAACAATGAGTTTCTCAAGCCCAAGCATGAGAAGCATGAAGAAACCGACACCAAGGAACGTCATAATTAAATTGCTCAAAACCAGTGACCAAAATAAATAAATAAATAAAAATAAATCTTAAAAACCAGTCAGAGGAAAAAGGGCACATCACGTGCAAACGAACAAGAATAAAAAACATGACAGCAGATTTCTCGCGGGAAACCATGCAGGTGAGAATACAAGGAAGCAGCATCTTTAAAAGACTGGAATACCGTTCGACCCAGCCATCCCACTCCTTGGAATTTACCCAAAGGAATTTAAATTGGCAAACAAAAAAGAGGTCTGCACCCTAATGTTTATTGCAGCTCAATTCACAATAGCTAAGACCTGGAACCAACCTAAATGCCCATCAACGATAGACTGGATAAAGAAATTATGGGATATGTACTCTTTAGAATACTATACCGCAGTAAGAAACAACGAAATCCAGTCATTTGCAACAAAATGGAGGAATCTGGAACACATCATGCTGAGTCAAATAAGCCAGTCCCAAAGGGACAAATACCATATGTTCTCCCTGATCGGTGACGACTGACTGAACACCAAGAAGGAAACCTGTTGGAGTGAGGTGGACACTATGGGAAACGGTGGCTTGATCAGCATAGCCCTGACTGTTAATGAACAACTTAATACATTATCCCTCTTAGTAGTTTTTTTATCTGTTCTACTTAATATGACTGGTTTAGTTCTGTAATTGATGCACAGTTATTCTTAAGTGTTGAAAATTAACTGAAATGTGATCCCTGTTGAACATGGGAGTGGGAATGGGAGAGGGAAGAGATGTATAATTTGGGACATGCTCAGGCTGACTTGCCCCAAGTGGTGGAGTTGGAAGCATACCAGGGGATTCCAATTCAATCCCATCGAGGTGGCATGTACCAAAGCCATCTCACTGTTCCAGGTGATCAATTTCAGTTCACAGTTGGTCATGGTGGAGGGACTGGGAGTCAAAGCGAGCACATAAACAAGTCTAGTACCTGCTAACACTAACCGATGGAGTAAATAAAGGGGAGAGTGATCCAACATGGGAAGTGAGATACTCCGCAGACTCATAGAATGGAAGATGTCCTAAATAGCACTCTGGCCTCAGAATCAGCCCTAAAGGCATGCGGATCTGGCTGAAAAGCCCATGAGAGTATTTCAGGCATGGAAAGCCAAGACACTCTGGCAAAAGATCTCTGTGAGTGAGATCCCAGTGGAAAGAACAGGTCATCAAAGAAGGAGATACCTTTCTCTGAAGGGAGGAGAGAACCTCCACTTTGACTATGACCTTGTCTAAACAAGATAAGAGTCGGAGAACTCAGAGGGCTTCCATAGCCTTGGAAACTCATGACTGGAACATAGGGAGATTACTGATGCCATAGACAGGAGTGTCAATTGGTAAAGTCAACAACAGGAGTCACTGTGCACTTACTCCTCATGTAGGATCTCTATCCTTAATGTGCTGTACATTGAGATTTAATGCTATAACGAGTACTCAAACAATATATTTCACTTTGTGTTTCTATGGGGGTGCAAACTGTTGAAATCCTTACTTAATGCATACTAAACTGATCCTCTGTAAAAAAAAAAAAAAAAAAAAGAAAGAAAGAAATTATCAACTCCCAACTTGACTCTCACTGGGATTAAACATGACAATAGGTCTGCTCTGATTTCATCATCATTTAAAAAAAATCATCTATTATTTTTCACTTTTTGTTTCTGTGTGGGAGCAAACTGTTGAAATCCATACTTAATGTATACTAAGCTGATCTTCTGTATATTAAGATAATCGAAAATGAATCTTGATGTGAATGGAAGGGGAGAGGGAGTGGGAAAGGGGAGGGTTGTGGTGGGAGGGACGGTATGGGGGGGAAGCCATTGTAATCCATAAGTCGTACTTTGGAAATTTATATTCATTAAATAAAAGTTTAAAAAAAAAAAAGACTGGAAGATAGTCCGTCAATCCAGTGGACACGTTTCAAAAATGGAGAAAAAAGAGCTGACACTAAAAAAGATGAGAGAATGTGTCACCAGCAACCTGCATTCCAAGATATGTTCAAAGTCCTCTAGGCAGAGGGAAAACAAAGCCTGGAGCTCCATCTGGGTCTCTCACATGGGTGGCACAGACCCAGGCACTTGGGCCATCTTCTGCTGTTCTCCCAGGTGCATTAGCAAGGAGCTGTATTAGAAGTGGAGCAGCTGGGATGCGAACTGGTGCCCACATGGGATGCTGAAATTTCAGCAGCAAGGGCTGCACCAGGCCTAAGCCAGGAGCCAGGAGCTTCTTCCCAGTCTCCCAACAGGCATGAAAATGTGATGAACAGGGTTAAGTGCTTGGGCTTAAGCTTGGGCCATCTTCCACTGCTTTCCCATGCTCATTAGCAGGGGGCTGGATAGGAAGCAGGAGCGGCCAGGACTGGAACGGGCGCCCCTATGGGATGCCGGCGTCACAGGTTGTGGCTTTACCTGCTATATCACAATGCTGACCCCTTTCTTTTCATTTAAAAAAAAATAAGCATCACGGGGCTGGTGCTGTGGCACAGTAGGTTAATCCTCCACCTGTGGCGCTGGCATCCCATATGGGTGCTGGTTCTAGTCCCAGCTGCTCCACTTCCAATCCAGCTCTCTGCTGTGGCCTGGGAAAGCAGTAGAAGATGGCCCAGGTCCTTGGGCCCCTGCACCCACATGGGAGACCCGGAAGAAGCTCCTGGCTCCTGGCTTGGGATTGGCACAGCTCCAGCTGTTGTGGCCATCTGGGGAGTGAACCAGCGGATGGAAGACCTTTCTCTCTGTCTTGCCCTCTGTCTGTAACTCTACCTCTCAAATAAATAAATAAAATTTTTTAAAAAAGTAAGCATCTCTATTTTTAAACTATTGCCATTAACTGCATAGTGGTTAACAGTGAGGGCTTCAGATGCAGAATACCTGGGTTTGAGTGCTGCCTGTACCCCTGTACCCCTCAGCGGCTGTATGACTTTGGACAAAGTACTGAACTTTGTGCCTTAATGAGCTCATCTATGGAATGCAGCTAACACTGGAATTTTCCTCACCTGGTTGTGGCAAAGCACCCAAAAACAGTGTCTTGCTCACAGTAAGCATTATAGAAGGTCTTATTAATATATTATGGGATATAATAAGTATTACTTATGCAATATAATAACGAACACATTCTATCTTCCCATGCTGTTTTCTATACCCAGCACATGAAAATATGAGTTACTCATTTTAAATGACAGTATCATCTCCATGGAATGTACTTTTCCTATCCTTCTTAAATCATCCCTGAAAATTAAATTTTAATTAAAAGTAATATGCCATCGTTTGAGTTTTTCTCATATGGGTCGATTCCCAGAAGGAGTCCACATTTTCATGCCTCTTGGTAGACAACACCTAATTAGTAGGCAAAAGTTCTAAGCCCTCTGCTGGGGCGAAACAACAGGTGCACCAGTGCATCCCAGCCCCGGGGCTACTACCATCCAACACCCTCCTAACTTCCCTGGGTAAACAAAGCCACTCTAGAGTTTCAACTGGACACTTTCCTCATGTAAAGTGATGAGTTTTTATTTCTTTCATGTTCTCTGCAAATTTTTCAATTAGAGGTCTCAAGTTTTTAGACAAATGTTCTAGGTAGTACATACATTAACCTGTTGTCATTTTTATGACTCATTTCATTCTTTTAAATTAAGTTTATTTATTTTTATTTATTTGAAAGCACAGTAAGAGAGAGAGAGAGAAAGAGGGGGGAAGAAGGGGGGATGGAGGGAGAGACAGAGAGCGAGCATCCACTGGTTCACTCCTCAAATGCCTGCAAGAGCTGGGGTTGGGCCAGGTTGAAGCCAGGGGCCAGGAGCTCCCTCTGGCTCTCTCACATGGGTGGCAGAGAGATGATGCCTGAGCCATCAACTGCTGTCTCCCAGAGTGCACAGTAGCAAGAAGCTGGATCAGAAGCAGAGGCAGGTTTCCCTCTCAGGCATTCAAATGTGGGATGCTGGTACCCCAAGCAAGGCTTAACCTGCTGGGCCACAATGCCTGCCCCCACTTTTGTTCTTCTGCAAATAGAAGAGAATTTTGTGCCAAATCTCTGGATTCTTTTCCTTTGTGATTTCTTTTATCACATAAGCTTTTACAAATCCTCCTCACTCTGTAGGTTTGCTAGATGGCCTATTTCTGTAGCTTTTCTAGGGATGATGTGTTAACAGGGACACTGTAAGTCATCTGGAACTTAGGCCGGTGTCACTGTGAGGGGCGGCATCAATGGCTGCATTTTCCAAACAGCTATTTGGATTCCTTGGTGTCATTTCTTGCACCATTTTAGAACTGCAGTAGAATTTGCACGGAAGGAGTCACAGGCACCGGAGGAGGGGCTATGTCCCGCCTGCTGAGGTTCTCTGCAGAGCCACGGAGCCACGGAGTGGGGCGAGGAGCCACGGAGTGGGGCGAGGAGGTGGCATCATGCAGAAACATGAGGAGAGGGCAGCCCTGCAGTCTCCCTTCCACACAAGGGCCTCGGGCGAGGGCAAGCTGTAGGCAGCACATGAGAGCACGGATTTCTCTAGAATAAAGCTCATCCTGTGGCTCTCACCCTCACTTGGGTCACAGAGCATGGCAGATTCCCCAGCATGCTGAACAATGACTCTTTCCTTAGGATTACAGAACTTTCACACGGATTATAGCAACAGGGCTCCAGCAGGCGCCATGTCTGAGTCACTTCCTTACACGCACTGATCTGAATGGATGAGTCTGCACACACACAGTCATTCACTGAGTGTCTGCTACCGACATGGCAGGCTTGGTGCTGGGTGCTGGGGATCCAGCAGTGATTAGACAAGCTTCTTGCTGGATGGTTATATATGAAGGGGCTTCAAAAAAGTTCATGGAAGATGTGTATTATGAAAAAAACTATGTATGGATTTCAACATTTTTGCACCGGAATAAACTTAGTTTTGAAAAATTATTTGTTTGCAGGGAGGCGGGGAGGAGGAAGGAAGAGAGAGAGAGAGATACGAATAAATGGAATTCTCATTGGCTGGTTCACTCCCCAAATGCAGCCTGGAACTCAATCCAGGTCTTCCGTGTGAGTGGCAGAGATCCAACTACTTGAGCCATCATCAGTGCCTCCCAGGGCTCACATGAGCAAGACATGGAATGAGGAGCCGGAGCTGGGAACTAAACACGGCACTCTGATGTAGGATGGAGGCCTCTTCACTGGCATTTCACCACTATGGCAAACACCGGCCCTTAAACTTGGCTTTCAATTCCTCTTTCCACAAACTTTATGAAGTACCCTTCTATATCATACAGCATATATATTGCTACATAGCAGAACTTTGCAATAATATAGCTTATTCATTTACATATGTAAATAGATATATCTTGGGTCAGATTCAAATGCCTTAAAACAGCACCAAACAGGAAATGCTGAGGCCATTAGCTTACAATAGGGGTCAGCAAATTACAGGCTGTGGGCCAAAGCCAGCTTCCTATTTCTATAAGTAAAGTTTTATTGGAACACGGCTATGCGCATCCATTTGTGTACTGTCTATGGCTACTTGCAAACTCCAGTGGCAGTGCTGAGTGGTAGTAACAGAAATCATATGGCCCCAAAGCCTAAAACATTTGCTATCTGGCCCTTTAAAAAAAGCTTGCAGGGCCTTGGTTTATCAAGCCGGTTTTAACCTTTCTCTAGCAGCATGGGCATTAAAGGCTTCAACTGAATTATAAGAGAAATTCCACTCTGGGCTCTTGGTGCTAACAAACGAGGACATTCTTCCTGGCAAGACCTGGAGCCCTGCGACCTCAGAAGGAACAAGATCTAAGTGTGCTCCGCGCGGTGCATGGGGGTGAGTGCGTGTGCACGGGTTAGCCATGAATGTGAGGCTTGCACCCATGACAACGAAGTGGTGAGAAGTCCAACCTCTTTCTATCCCTTATGGTTTCCGCAAGGCGGGGTGGAGGGAGCTGTGGAGTGGGGTGAGAGGCTGCGTTCAGCCATACTTTGGGGTGAGGAGGGTTTGAAGGGCAAAGGTTGACTATAAAAGAGAAAACAAAATGCGTGAAAAAGCCAGTGGAAACAGAAGAGAGGCTGGCCGTTGCTTCCATCTGCTGCTCCAAAAATGCCGAATCCAATTTACCTTCCAGGTGGGCTTCCCAGTTCACCTGCTGCCCACAGTGCTCATGCGGTTGCGGTCACACGAGTGTCACCTTCTCACGCAGTGTAATGGCTCTCTGCAGACTGCCCAGGCATAGCTGCCCAATTTACTGACAAAAACAAGCTTTTATTGCTGTTGGCACCACCGAGCCAGAGCGGCCAGAGAAGCATGGAGAGGCCACGCACGTCGTCAGCGCAACTGCCAGGAAATTCGCTTCTCTGATCCTTTCTGGGCCAGCGATATGAGGGGCTGACCCAGCGTCCCGAGCCAGCTGTTGGCAACACCCGCTCTTAAATGTAAGCCCCTCGGGGTTCCTCCGCACTGGTGTCATTTGCAACCACCCCTTGTGAGAGCACAATTGCACTGTGAAGTCAAAACGTTACCACCATTACATGGAAGAAGTTGGCCAGAATGACATGGGAAATGAAAGGTGAGCCCTGGACAAGTCTTGGCCATGACCTAGACATTGGAAGGTTTCCTGGGAATCTGGTTTTCCTTGAGCCTCAATAAACGCACCACACACCACGATGCAGGCTCACGGAAGAGAGCAGAGCCTGCAGAATGAGGTGCTCAGTGCCCTGGCACAGCAAACGGCAGGGTCCCAGGTTCTGGCAGCCTTCTCTGGGCTCTCCAACAACACGCACACGGAGAGCACGCTCTGGCATGAAAACCGTTCCACTGCGCGTCTGTGGTGCCATCCCGGTTGTTAACCTTGGACAGGCTAGCCCACCTCCGTTAAGCCTCAGTGTCTCCGCCTGCATGGGGTTATCGAAGAGCTGCTGAACAGGCAACTCATCTCCCACGCAAAGGCACAGCCCGGGGGCACCCTGCGGGTTAGGACTGTTACAAATGGTGAGGGGGAGGGGGACAAGCGACAAGTAAACAGTTCAGAACCTCTCCGGCACAACTGAACTGGGTTGTCTTTTAGATTTGGCACAGGGGTGCCAGGCCAGGCCATGATGGCCACAAGGCAATGTGGTCCTACCACCCTGGGAAACTTACTTTCCCTGGAAGGACCCATCCAGGCCTCGCGGCACTGCTGGGCGGCAGCACCCCAGGGTGCAGGGGGTGGAGGAGGATGGAGAGACGGACGGGCAGGAATGGTCACCTGTGTGCTTGGTGTCAATGTGAGCCTTTATCTCTGCTTCCTCCATGGTGACAAAGTCACAGGCGGTGCAGCAGATGGAAAACATCCACTGCTCCTTGTCCACGTGCAGCGACATGTGGCTGACGAACTGCACGTTGAGCTCAGTCTCGAATCCGCACACGTGACAACTAGACGAGAGGAGGGAAGAAAAGAGGGATGCAGAGCTGTGAATGGAGGCGACTCCTTTCTGCAGAGAACGCTCGAGGAGCCGGAGGCTTCACACACATTCTCCTCGCCAGCAGAGCTTCTGCCGTGGAGGATTCTCTGCGCGCTGGGCTGCCTCTGCGCTGCTCGCTGTGCCAGGCGGCTTCAGTGCCAGCATCGTGCAGCCATCTCATTCATGCTATAATGGTGCTAAGTAAGCATACAGTGAATTAAAAACTACAGAGTCCAGATGCTGCACATCACCTAAGTGATTCCTTTGGGCCCGGAGATGTGGGGCAGTGCTGCCAAGGTGTTTCGTGGTGCTGGTCCATTGATAAATTGAGAGGCACCACATCTCCCACACGCCTCTCTCTGTGGCTCCGGAAAGCTTCCCACGGAGCAATGGAAGCACATGCAGGTCATCGCGTGGCAGACCAAGCAAGAGGCAGCCCCATCTGTGACAGCTCCTGAGAGAGAGGCCGCCCTTCCCTGGAGATGTTTCATGCAAACGCCATTTTCCACCAATAGCACAGGTAAGGCTTAGTAAAGAGTACAAAACTTGGGATCTGATGGCGACAAACCAAAAACTGACTCTGGGCTGAATATGGAAGCAAAACATGCAATGCCACATACTAAACAGCAACCCAGCCAAGGGAAAACGTGTAATGCCTTCCGTGCTGTTTCTGCTGGGTTCTTGGGTGTATTTTGCTCTGGCTTTTTTGCCTTCCAACTCTTAGGAAGCTAAGAGGTGCAATGGTGGGAGCTACACAGACCAAGATGCTGACTGTCCCCAAGGCTCTGTCACTCTCTGGGGCTCCACCTGCGACAGTCAGTCCAAGACCATTTATCTTCTAATGAATTCTGCCAGGGCCACCCAAGCCAAGAGCAGAGCCATGCAACTGCAGCAGCCATGGCAGCACAGACAACGTTAAAACAAAGGTCAGCAGACAACCGAGAAAGGGGGCTCCTGTCACACGTCCCTAGCGGCAGGGCAGGCAGGCGGGGGCCAGACCAGCGCCTTGCGTCCGCCACTCACCTGTAGTAGTAAGGGTGCTTCTTCCCGTCACTGCCTTCAGAGGTGACGGCGCTGACGAGGTCCTCGGTGTCTGTACTCACCAGCTTCACGGAATGCACGGTCAAGTGCTGGTTCAGGTTCGCACGGCACTTAGCAGCATAGGGGCACAAGTGGCATTTGTATTTTCTTTCCTCTGGGGGAGAAGGAACAGGCAAACACCCAAACCACTCTCAGGAAATGAAATGCCAACTCCCTGCGAGGCAGGACTGAAAGCAGGGGTGGGGAACCTTTATTATTCTGCCAGGCTTATCTCTATACGTATATCACCCGCGGTCCATATAAAATTATCGACTTAAAATTAGTGTGCTTTAAACCCACTGAATTTCGAGTCCCTTGTGCGGCTGCCTTGGCAGGGATGCACCAAATGATTTTGGGAGTCTTATCCGGTCTGTGGAATGGAAGTTCCCCATCCCTGAAGAGATCAAGGAAAGGCTGGTTCGAGTCTCATCCCACGTGGCGACAAAGGTAACGCCTTGGAGTTGTATTTAAAAAAATCTACGCAGAGGGCCACTCTGAACGCTTCAAAGGATTAAACAGAGTCTCAGGGCCACCACATTGGCCTGCTTTTTGTGGGACACCCACAGCCCCTCTTCCTCTCCATCCCAGAGGGGCTAAAAGAATACCGTGTTTGTGAGTGTGTATGTGTGTGTGTGCACGCACACGCCTCCTCCTGTGTGCCAGTTGTGAGTGGGTGCCAGGCACAGCAAGGGGAATGAAACTGGACCCATCATCTCCCCTAAGCTCCAGGATCAGCCACAAAACAAACAAAAAAGCTAATGAAATCAAAAGGGGGAGGGAATGACTTGTGTAAAATAATTTAATTGGCAATGTTCATTTTACATAGATAATGTAAAAAGTCTCAATTAATTTCTGAATGGAAATCCTCTCATAAGCCTGACCGACGTTTCTGGATCATTTCCAGAGTGGCACCCTGCATTTATCTGCCTAATCAAGCAAATGAGAGCCAGGCGCGCAGGCGTGCGCTCACTGGACAAACTAAGGGGGCAGCTGCAGGAGGAGAGAACAACTTCATCTGCTGGTCCTAGTTCTATCTGGTGTGGCTGGGCTTGGCTTTTAAAAATTGCCGGTCTTTGGGCCGGCGCCGTGGCTCACTAGGCTAATCCTCCTCCTTATAGCGCCGGCACACCGGGTTCTAGTCCCAGTCGGGGCGCCGGATTCTGTCCCGGTTGCCCATCTTCCAGGCCAGCTCTCTGCTGTGGCCCGGGAATGCAGTGGAGGATGGCCCAGGTGCTTGGGCCCTGCACCCCATGGGAGACCAGGAGAAGTACCTGGCTCCTGCCATTGGATCAGCGCAGCGCACCGGCCGCGGCGGCCATTGGAGGGTGAACCAACGGCAAAGGAAGACCTTTCTCTCTGTCTCTCTCTCTCACTGTCCACTCTGCCTTTCCAAAAAAAAAAAAAATTTGCCGGTCTTCCGTATTTCCCAGGGAAAAACACGGCAAGCAGTTTTTCTACAACCAAATGTTCAGGCCTCGCCATCATGAGGGCGGTCCCCTACATCGGAAGGACACGTGATGGACTTGGCAGCCATGGGAGGAGCAGTGGGGACAAAGGAAAAGTGTTTCCTCAGAATTTTGCCTGTTGCCTTCATATGTGAGGTTGCTGAGGTTTTGGTATTAAAGTCATGTCTCCTTCCTAAAAACAACGGTGGGGCTTTCTGTCTTTTTCTATCAGCTAGAAAGGTTCAGTAACACTGGGATTTGCTCTCCCCATCAAGTTAAGAAGAACTCACCTGGGAACATCTTGGACCTGATGCCTTTATTAAATAGTATTTCCTGGGACCAGCACTGTGGCACAGTGGGTTGCGCTGCCACCTGCGACACCAGCATCCCATATGAGCACTGGTTTGAGTCCCAGCTGCTCTACTTCCCATCCAGCTCACTGCCAAAAGCCTCTGAGAAAGCAGCGGAAGACGTCCAAGTGCATGGACCCTGTCACCCCCTAGGAGACCTGGACAGAGTCCCAGGCTCCTGGCTTCAGCCTGGCCCAACCATCTGGGGAGTGAACCACTAGAGGGATGATTCTCTCTCTCCGTCTCTCTCCCTCCCTCTCTCTCTCCCTCTCTCCCTCCCTCCCTCTCTCCCTCTCTCCCTCTCTCTCTCCCTCCCTCTCTCCCCCTCTCTCCCCTCCCCTCTCCCTCTCTCCCTCCCTTTCTCTCCCTCTCTCCCTCTCTTTCTCCCTGCCTCTCTCCCTCTCTCTCCCTCTCTCTCTCCCTCTCTCTCTCCCTCCCTCTCTCTCCCTCTCTCTCCCTCTCTCCCTCTCTCTCCCTCTCTCTCTCTCCTTCTCTCTCCCTCTCTCTCTCCCTCCCCCTCCCTCTTTCCAACTCTACCTTTCAAATAAGTAATAAATCTTTTAAGAAAATAGTCTTTCCTTCAATATCTTCCCAACTTTCTCTTTGATAATTGATTTATTCAAGTTACCCCTGCCCCTTTGGGTCAAATTTGATATTCGGCTTAAATTATCAACACCCCCTAACTCGTCATCTCTCCCGTCCTCTTTGTCACGGCAGCGGTGTCCTTGTTCTCCCGCAATTCTTCAGCACCATCTGCACTGATGATTAAGCTTCCTTTTTCATCTTGATTTGAAACATTTTCACTTCATTTCCCTGTTTTAATCAGGCTTACATGGGTTCATTTGCTTTATGGTGATCCTTCCCCGAGATTTTGTTACTCTTTTACTAATTCCTTAAAATGAATGTTAAGATCCTTGAATTTTTTGTCTTTCTTCTCTTCCAATTAAAACATTTAAGTCTGACCAGTGTGGTAGCTGTTTCCTCCAGGTTTAAATATAAAGTGTTCTTTTCATTCCTTCTAGATGTCTGTTATTTACATTTTGATTTTGATTTTCTTCCTTTCCTGCTTGCCCAATTAAGAAAGCCACTTTATTGGTTCTTGTTTATTTACATTGCATTTAAGTATGCTCAAGGAGTAAGGCCTATAAAACCTCCACTTTTGGGCCGGTGCTGTGGCATAGCAGGAAAAGTCACCATCTGTAGGGCAGGCAATCCACATGGGTGACAGATTGAGTTCCAGCTGCTCCACTTCCAGTCCAGCTCTCTGCTATGGCCTGGGAAGGCAGCAGAGGATGGCCCAACCCCTTAGGCCCCTGCACCCACATGGGAGACCCAGAAGAAGCTCCAGGCTCCTGGCTTCGGCCTGGCCCAGCCCCGGCTGTTTTGGCCATTTGGGGAGTGAATCAGTGGATGGAAGACGCTGCTCTCTCTCTCTCTTTCTGCCTCTGCCTCTCCTTTTCTGTAACTCTGTCAAATAAATAAATCTTTAAAAAAAATTTTTTTTAAAATAAAGCCTCCATTTTTTGAATATGTTAAAATTTTCTTTGTAGTTATGTGTATGACTAAATTTTGTCTTAAGTGGAATTAATATTAGAAAAATTAAAAATAGAGAAAAAAGAAATTTGATTTTGTAATAACAACACTGTCTTGATTTTTCTTACATCTCATGTGATGTGCAAACCTTTCATTTTGAACTTGCTTGATCATTCTGCTGTTTCCTGTAAATGAGATACACTTGGATTTTTTTAAAGCTTGTGAAAACTGAGATGCTCGATTTTGTTATTTCCACTCTGCCTTACATTTACAGTTGCTTTTCCCTTACATCTTTCTGTCTTCACCGGTCTTTAATGTACTGGTCTTTTATGTAATCCTCTTGTACCCCTTGTTAACTTGGTGGCTTTCTCTTCTCCGATCCACAGAATCAACCCTCTCTGCCCAGTGTTATTTATAAATGAGTTTATCTACCAAGGAGCAACCTTGGTAGATAAATAATAATAAGGTGGGCTGTGGCAATGGGATGAGCTGCACCCCGAGACGCTGGCATCCCATATGAATGCCAGGTTCTGGTCCTGGCTGCTCCACTTCTGCTCCCTGCTAACGCACCTGGGAAAACAGCAGAAGATGGCCCGAGGGCTTGGGCCCCTGCCACCCACAGAAAGACCTGGATGGAGCTCCAGGCTCCTGGCTTTGGCTTGGCCCAGCCCTGGCTGTTGCAGCCATTTAGGGAGTCAACCAGGGGATAGAAGTGTGCGCGCTCTCTTTCTCTCTCTCTCTCTCTGTCTCCCTCTCTCTGCAACTCTGCTTTTCAAATAAATAAAATAAACCTTAAGAAGAAGATGAGCCCCTTGGAGCCTTCACAGGGTGCAGGAGTTTCACCTGGGCACGCCTACTGTGTATCCCTCCTCAGTCCTCCCTGGAACTCAGTGTGCCCTTTCCACACAAACAAAAAGCCCCTCCTCCGCCTTACATCAGCATGCAGATAAAAGGCCTGAGGAGCCAAGACAGACACGTGTCCACACAGCGGGTGGGGGTGGCGGCAGTGAGGCCGGAACTCACCTGTGTGCAGCGAGAGATGCCGGGACAACGTCTGCTGGCGGCCAAACACTTTCCCGCACACATCACAGGGGAAGAGCTGGTCATTGAATTTCCAGGATGGCAATCCGTTTCCCGCCTCCAGGACTAGCTTTTCTGTTTCTGGGCCGGGAGGACAGAAAGCATTGTGAGGGACACACAGGCACCACGGACACTGTTCCCTGGAGTCTGCACTGAGGACCGCGACACAGGCTTCCTTCTGCGGCACGTGGCGAGTCACTGCAAGGAAGCCCCAGGAACCCTCCTTGGCTCACTTCCTGTCTCCTAAGAAGGCCCCTCCCGGGAGCTATGCTGGAAGGGGATTCCCGCTCCAGTCCACTCTCTTTCAAATCATCAATGAAGACGTGGGTTGACAGCACTGGGCCCAGTACACAGTAGGAACTCAGTAAACACTTGTTGAATGACTGAATGGATGAGTTGCAGGTTAGAAGTCCAGAAACGCAGACTCTTGCCACAAGACAGGAAGGAAAGAATTCCAAATCTCAGTAAATAACTCTAAAGCAAATAGTGGACCAGCTGAAGGAAGCGAACCCTCTTTCACTGGCCTTCGTGAAGCGCAGTTTGGCCCACGTTCTGGAGTGTACAAACTCCTTCAAGAGGGACTCAGGTTAAGCAGGCTCAGGGACGACAGGGGCATACTGTTACACAGGGAACTCCGTGACGGGGTGGGGAACCTCTCTTCTGTCCAGGGCCATCTGCATTGACTGTAACCTCATTCACAGGGCATACAAAACTATCAGCTTAGAGAGCCTGCTATACATTCAGGCAATTTTGAGTCTCGCCTATGGTTGCCTTGGCAGGGACAGACCAAATGATTCCACAGGCCCTACACGGCCTGCCTGCTGGCTGGACGCTCCCCACCTCTGCGACAGTGCACTAAAATTGTTGTCAAGGTCCCAGCAGTTCTGGCAAAACAGTGACTGATCCAACTTACTGGATGTAATCCGTAGGCATGAATGAATCAGAGGGCATTAGGGGACAGGCATTTTGCCTAGCAGCGAGGGAACCAGCTGGGAGGTTCAAGTCCCACACTGGGGTGCCTGGGTTTGCTATCTGGCTCCGGCTCCAGACTCCAGCTTCCTGCTCATGCAGACCTTGGGAGGCAGTGGTGATGGTTCACGTGACTGACTTCCTGCCACCCATCTGGGGACTCCAATTCAGTTCTGGGTTCCCAGCTTCTGCCTGACTGAGCTCCAAGCCATCACAGGCATTTGAGGAGTAACCCAGCAAATGGGAGTTCTCTGTCCATCTCTGTCTCTTTGCCTCCCAAATAAATAGAAATACTAATAGTAAAAAAAGAAATCAGTGAATGTTAATTCCTCCTCTTTTCACCTTAGAAAGTTTATATTTTCCCATTATCATCTGTAAGAATATATGTGGGAGCCGGCATTTGGGCATAGCGGGTAAAGCCAACGCCAGCATCCCATATGGGCACTGGTTCCTGTGCTGACTGATCCACTTCCAATGCAGCTCCCTGCTAACGACCTGGGAAAAGCAGTGGAAGATGGCCCAAGTGCTTGGGCCCCTGCCACCCATGTGGGAGACGTGGAAGAAGCTCCTGACTTCAGTTTGGTCCAGCCTAGGCCATTGCAGGCATCTGGGGAGTGAATCAGGGATTCACTCTTTCCCTCTTCTCTCTCATAACAAATACCTTTTCTATCTCTTCTATCCTCTTTCTTTTTTTGACAGGCAGAGTTACACAGTGAGAGAGAGACAGAGAGAGAGAAAGATGTTCCTTCTGTTGCTTCACGCCCCAAATGGCCACTATGGCCGGCGCACTGGATCCGAAGCCTGGAGCCAGGCGCTTCCTCCTGGTCTCCCATGCGGGTGCAGGGCCCAAGCACTTGGGCCATCCTCCACTGCATTCCCGGGCCACAGCAGAGAGCTGGCCTGGAAGAGGAGCAACTGGGACAGAATCCAGCGCCCTGACAGGGACTAGAACCCGGTGTGCCGGCACCGCAGGTGGAGGATTAGCCTAGTGAAATAAATAAGTGAATCTTTAAAAAAAGAATATATTTAATTTTCTTCTGCATATTTCTTTTCACTGAGCTATAACAGATTACATAAACACTCCTTCTACAGCAAGTGTAAGGAGACAGGCAACAGAGACAGTACAAGAAGAGGGAAGTGGACACTTCCAGGAGGCCATTTGCCAGGGCTCCTGATAGGATTTTAGCCTCACTTTGAAAACCAAGGCAAATAATAGGCTAAGTTGGTATCTTGTCCTTTACCTCAGTAAATGATCGTGAATCTTCTTTAACACAGTGCTGCATTACAGAACCAGACACCCCGTGGCAGTGATTAACTGGTGCAAAGAGCTTTCCATGAGACCCAAGCAGATGACCTGCTCAGACCACTGCTCACGGACAACATCAGAAGAAAGGACTTGATTTCACACAATTTAGTAGAGTTACTTCCCCAATCCAGGATTCCACCTGCATTTGGATGAGTGAACTAGATCAACTTTCATTTGAAGATCTGCCAGACAGCATAATCTAAGGAAAGCAGCAGCAAACCCAAATGTTTGGAAGCAGGGGTCAGGGCCAATGATGGTGCAATTGGACTCATGTTTGCTGTGAGGCACCTGCCAGCAATCCTGACACTGATAAAACACATTTATTGATTTACCTATGTTTGTTAAAACTTGGTGCTCTGAGCCCCAGGGAGAAGAGCTAGTCTTATTAAAGTAGGAATGTGGGACTCAGAATCTCCAAACAGCAAGGGCTGGAGCTGGGGGGGTGGGCACACAGGGCAGATGAACTTGGGAGGATAAGAACCAGTCTTTGATGACTGTCCTTGGGGCCAAGCACTGGGCCTCCCAGCCACACAGCCACGACAGGTATTTCACCGGTTCCATTAACAGTGCTCCAAAGGAGGGGTCAAGAGGGTGGCGGGTCTCCTAATACGTTCGCAAGAATGAACTAATTGGGTCACAGACCCAACAAGTGGGTGCAATTAAAAACGAAGAAGTCTCTTAAGAATTCTTTCAAGTATTAGTCAGGTACTCAAGAAGCTGAAGCACCACAGAGAGTTCAGTGCCCCCCCCGCCCCGCCTTGGAGAGCAAGGACACCCTCCGAGTGTGAAGTAGAAACGACACCCGCGCTGTGCTGGTGACCACAGCTGGCCACTGTCACAGCCCCTTGCTGGGGCCCCAAGTCTTGTCCGCAATTGCCCTCCCAGCAATTTGTTTTCATTTCACATGTGGGAGCAAGGCAACCACAGGGCATTTGGAGCCTCATCCCAGAACCTGACTTGAAGTCCCAGCTGGGTGGCGCTGGGGGCTGAGGGCCAGTGGGAAGAGGAGGAGTCCTTGGACAACACAAGTACTGAAGAGAGGTGTCCGCTCCTCTCTCTCGGAGCTGACGTGGGGCGCAGCAGGTGCTACGTTCTCCTGCATCTCCTGTGAATGATGCCACCCGAACGTCAGGGTTGACCAAGCTCAGATCATTTTGCTATTCCTCCTTCTCTCTCTTTGAACAGACCTGGTCACCAAAAGCTGTCCATCTTACCTCAAAGATCTTTCTGCCTTCATCGGGCCAGCATCTCTCACCATTGTTGCCGGAGCCTCTGAAACAGCTCTGTCACCAGCCCTTCTCCCCTCTTTCTGACGCACAAGTCTGAGCAGAGCTTGTGCTGTGTTTCAACAACGCCCCAAGGCCAGAGTCCTTCCCTGGGCTACTGTGTGCCTTCAGCCTGGCTTCCACCTCCTCCCACCTTTAGCTCCTGCTCCACCTCCCACCGCCCAAATGCTCAGCAGGGAGCTTCTTGATCTTTCAGGAACAAACTATGCACATTTAAGCTGTCAATGCTTTCCAACCAATTACTCCTCCACCAAAAGCTACTCCCACACCATCACTTCTTTTGTACAACAAACTCCAACTCAGTTTCAAGTCCTATCTCAGATTCCATCTCCTTGGTAAAGCAGTCTCCAACTCCGCAGGTGGAATTAATCATTTCTCCTTCTCTATCCCAAAGCACTTCTTCTTTTTTCTTTTAAAGATTTATTTTATTTATTTGAAAGACTGAGTTGCAGAGAGAGGTAGAGACAAAGAGAAAGGTCTTCTATCCACTGGTTCACTCCCCAGATGGCCACATCGGCCAGAGCTGCGCAGATCCGAAGCCAGGAGCCAGGAGCTTCTTCCAGGACTCCCACGCGGGTGCAGGGGCCCAAGGATTTGGGCCACCTTCCATTGCTATCCCAGGCCACAGCAGAGAGTAGGATCGGAAGAGGAGCAGCCGGGACCAGAGCCAGCACCCATATGGGATGCTGGCACTTCAGGCCAGGATGTTAACCCGCTGAGCCACAGCGCCGACCCACAAAGCACTTCTTTGATTATTTTCATGGTGGTTGCATCCCATATAGGAATGCCTCTCTTGAGTCCTGGCTACTCCACTTCTTCTTCTTTTTTTTTTTTTTTTGACAGGCAGAGTGGACAGTGAGAGGCTACTCCACTTCTAATCCAGCTTCCTGCTAATATGCACTCTGGGAGGCATCAGGTGATGTCTCTGCCATCGACATGGGAGACCAGGATTGAAGTACAGGCTCCTGGCTTTGCTCTGGCCCGGCCCTGGCTGTTGCAGGCATTTTGGGAGTGAATCTGCAGATGGAAGACCTTTCTCTCCATCTCTTTGCCTTACGAATAAAATGAAAATAAATAAATAAATGTTTAAAAACAGTTTATGGAGAATGAGTATAGTGAAAAAACTGCATGGATTTCAAAAACTTTTGTCAGTAAAACAAACTTATCTTTTAATTCCATTTTCCATGAACTTTTTGATGTACGTGTGTGTGTGTGTTTTACATAAAGCACACAGCACAGCTAAAATGCAGCAGTGCTTGAAAAACACATTCCTCGGCCTCCAGTCCCTGTTAGTTTGTGCATAACTGGGAACTGGGGTTCTGTGTTATTTATCTGAGTGTCATCAACATTAGCACAGTGCCCAGCACGGAATCTGGCTTAGGATTTGGCTGCTGAGTAAACGAATGATTGAATAAAAGGCTCCAAGTGAGACAGGGAATAAACATTATCCTCATTTTATAGGAGCAAAGACTGGGAATTTATTAGCATTAATTAAGGTCTACAGCCAGTCTTCAGTGAAA